CGCCTCCCCAAACCATTTACATATTTCGGCCGATAAATTATACCGATGGCGATATCAGAAGCGCTCAAAGACAGAAGTGTTCAACAAGTTGCCTAGATTTGAGTTATAGATAGGTACAACCTGCGGTTCTAGACCAGGTTCTTTATGAAAACCTCTCGTCAGTCACTGCGTCTGGTACATACAAAGAACTATTCAGCCTTTCATCCCTTACTATAACGATTCCAAACTGCATTACCTGAATTGAAAGACTAACAGTTGCGGGAGTAATTCTGTCAGAATGCGGGCGGAATGGCAGGCCACAAAACAGTGTCTTCTGCCTCTGACATCACCCACTGGTGTCTAATTTGCTAGCTGGCAGTGCAAGAGAGGGGGAGAGAGGCTAGTGCACATGTGACACACGCAAATGGGCGATGTGCACAAGGTCCGTCCATAAAAATAGTACAATAAACACCAACGTCAGGCGCGATTTATACGAGTTTTAGTGGTGTGCCCAGTTTCAGAGGCAGCTATTCCCCGTTAGTACGGCTCCAAGATCCCCATATTCGCTGGCAAGTAGGTTCAGGGTATTGAGGTGCAGTCAGGCAAAATTCAGACCTGCCTCCCAAGCGATCGAGGTAAGTCAGCTGTCAGTTGCGCCGAGGTCAAATTCAGCAATCACTAGGGGGGATGGTCAATATCGGATGCCTCAAATGTGTAAAACTCTGCAAGCACTCAGTTTAACCTCCCATAGTCCTCACCCCATCAGCCTAAAGTAGGTAATCTATGGCGACATACGAAGTACAAGGTGACGAAATCTAGTCGTACTAAGAACCACTTAAAGTAACCGTTGATTAGGATGCATGAATCAGAAACTCAATAATAATGACAAAGAAGTCAGTCTAGAAAGAATTTACGGGTTGCTGAAGCAAATATCTTATTTTTGAACATTACCCTTTGCCAAGATTGCAGACATGTGAATAAAAAATTAAGCCGCTCTGAGCAGTACTTCATACCCAAATACACGGTCACTCGAGGTTTTGAAAATTATTATGGGTGTGGCTGATTTGCTTAATTTGATTTGACCCAATTGTGAAGAAACTCGAGGCGTTCGGCGGAATTTGAACCCGCGTAGTAGAGAAGGCCTTTGCCGAAAGCCAACGCTCTAACCGTTAAGCTACAAAACGCTGTCCCTCTAAACTACATTTAGAAGGTAATTCGGCCAATATATGCTGTGGAACATATTTGCTCATGGAACCATCCTTTGCACCAGTAACTTGAAATTCTTTATGAAAGTATATTTACTCGCAAAATAAGAAAAGCGAAGGCAGGGGTGGCGCCAAATAACGATGAGAAATGCTTAGTCAGAAGTATGTTCAGTGAGCGTCAAAAACGTACATATATAGAGTTTCATACAAGCGAAAGTGACGTTTGTAGTCAAGAGGGACGACAACCTTATGCAGTAATCAGAAGAAAGCCTCCAATGAGCAGGGATAGGCTTGTGGGAATAGACTCCACGGTAGGGAACATTCCGCGTCAGCTGAGGTTTTACGGATGTGCAAAAATATGCAGATACATACATGAGGGCGCATTGTAATCTGATAACTCTGACACTAACTCATCATCAGACGTCTAAGATTGGATTGCAAAATAGTGTCTTGCATGGCATTAAAAACGGTTTCGATGTTGCGTCTATCCACGGCAGTGGTAAAATGACGATAGACGGTGCGCCTTCGTGGAGCGCGTTCAAAGCCCTGTGAGGAGGCGTTACTTCCAGATTCACGTCGCGAGAGGGATTTTGAGTGGAAGAGCTTCTGCAATCCGCTCAATCTCTGCATGGGCTCACCTTCCTCTGGCATGGTTGGATCAGGATTGGGATCAATGAGACTGGAAAATAGGGTGACTAGGAAGTTTTGCACATCTGTCAACTTGCGTTCATCGCCCTCAGCTGGGAACTCTGGGAAGGAGGAACGAATACTGGAGAGACCACCCGTAAGCTTCTCTTTGAGTATGTCCGTCTTATTGAAGAAGAGGATTATTGAAACACGGCGGAAGGAAACGTGGTTGATTAGAGACTCAAACACGTCCATGGCCTCACGTAGCTTATTCCTATATTCTTCTGTCACCCTGTCGACGTAGAACTCATCGTAGTGCGAGCAGGCAACTAGGAAGAGGACAGAAGTCATATCGGTGAAGGTGTGACACCATTTGCTGCGCTCCTTTGTCTGACCACCTACGTCGATGAAGGTGATTGGAATGCCATGGACGCAGATCTCTTCCTCAATTATGGAATTTGTGGGACGCCGCGACCATACGATGTCCTCATTGGTTGGCACGTAATTCTATAAAATGGAGAATTAACATGATAATCTAGGGCCGACAAAATTAACTTTATATTCGAGGTAAATTAAATGCTCATCTTTTTAATTGATAGACGAGAAACGTTTGCGGAAGCAGGAGAAACTCAAGTGTTTATCCATTGTATTAGAGGTTCAAAGTAAACTTCCCTGTGCTGCTAATGAAAACTGGAGCAAGGAATTTTATAGATTGACTTGAACTCAGTAGATGACGGTCATTATAAGCCATCGTGGCAATAGCCAGCAATGCATCATAGTAAGAAATCTTGGTCGACGTCCACGCATTCAGTCTGGAACGCGTCCATTTTGGGCCTCCTGTCTAGCCCATATATATCTGTGGACTGCCTGGGAACAAGGCTGGAGAAGGACACCGCAACAACGCTCATGATATTCATGCCTGGGACATTTGGTCCTTTCGATTTGGCCCACTTGCATAATCTAAGCATGTGAATGGTTAGTCTCCAGTCAAAAGAGATGAACTCCCCCCTTTTATGGTATATCAATAGGTCCACTTGTCTTCGAACGATCTAACCACGATTGGCATCCTTTTTAGACCGCTTGGAACAGGGCACTTTTATGACACGTTTTACTTATTATGTGACAACAACTATCTACGGAGATAACTGAGCTCGTCTATGCCTGCGCAAGCCATGGCACGAGCCAAAATGTTAGAGATCTTTGTTTCATGAGGTATCTCAAGAACTTTGGGCGGCACTAAATCCTCGAGTGCAGCTGGGGTTCAACTGTTCAAGGACTCCCGGCAGAACGTAAATACAAGACAGAAAAGGCCAGATAACAAACTTTTTTGTAGTTCACTCCTCTCATTTTAAAGTGCCGTTATCGGACTCGGTCGTACTTTACGCTCTATTATATTTTCGAAGCTCTACAAAGGCGACCACTACTCGTTTGATATTGGTTTCTCAAAAATCAACATGAATTTGAAAGATTTGAATAAAATTTTTCAATTGGCTCCCAACACTAAGACCAAACCTCGTTTATTCAATGCTCGGCTAGCAGTTCTACTCGAAAATTCGGATCCATTCGTCAGAAATCAAAGTCTTGTACAACCGACAGCCGAACAAACGAAAATGACGTCAATTTTGATTATTTATATTTATTTTGGTTCCTACTGACCCCACTCTTTAGTTAGCCGCACCATAATTTAGAATACGTTTCGCAAATAGCTAAGAACCTAAGCACAAAAATTTTACAAATTCCGCCGTTCTGCTGTGAGCGATTAGCTGACCAAAGACGCGTCTTTTCAAAACCACGAACCTCGGAAAGTAAAACTGGCATCTTTATGTCCAGATAAATTATTCAACAAAGCGGTTTTCACTCTCCGCATACGCATTTATAGTTGCGCATATGACTGAGATTTTTCAGGGAGCGAATAATTTACAAACACTGTGATCGACTTTAAAAGGAACCGAAGCGGGTCGTTGAAAACGGAATTCAGCGCCGGTTCTTCTGGCACTCAGGCATTAGGAGGAATTAAATAAAAAACATTAAAGAGATCAAACATGCAATAAGGCGGAACTCACAGGTTTGGCAATTTGATCGATGCGATTAAGGTAGAAGCGTGTGTTTTCACTCTAAAAAAAATTTTCAACGTTAAAAGACAAAGGGAACATTGGCTTGACATGACTGTTTCGATTTGTTTTAGGCGTCTAGTAAAAATAAGCATGACCTGGAATCCGACGTGCAAACAGGAAGATTGTTTGGGAGGGGGAATCCTCTCCAAGTAAGCTAAAACGTGATTTTCCTAATTATTGATGCAAAAAGAAGATACTACACGAATAAAAAACAACAACGGCGTGTTGCAAGGTCAGCCTATTTTTAGTCATCGAAAACTGCCACCTATTAAAATTGAACATGGAAAACACACCATGATGTAGATCAAGCCGTAGATCTCAACGAAGAAATTCGATCCTGTTTTAAGACAGAAATAATACAAAAGGAGGCTGCTTACAAAGTCTTCAGTAATAAGTCGGGAGCGTTGATCAAAGGCCAATCGGATGCTGTCGTCGGACCAGATCTTTGCTAGCAGAGGAGCGATCTCGAGGAATTCTTCCTGGGTCCACAGCAGCTGCCTCAGGCGAGCCCGTTCACGTTGTGTCCGCTGGAAGGTCTTAAAATGATTCTCCAGTGCATCCGCTGCGTTTGCTGCCTCGCAATTGGAACTCCCGGCCCAGGGTATTTTTAGCGATGAGCGAGCCTTTAACAGGGAAGATCATAACTTGGAGCATATCACCCAAGACGTATCTGGTAGTCAAAACAGCTTTTTTTAACAAATGGCAGACCCTCTCCAGACTGTTGTTTATGAGGGACATATTCACACCCTGAATTTTAAAGACACACTCGCGATGTGGGTAGAGAGAGAGTACAGGAGAATTTGTTTTGAATAGTGACCTTTGAAGTCAGACAGGTTCAAAAAAGCATTTATTTTTCGTGGAATACGCGCGTAGTAAGAATGGAGCCTGATTTTTTGAGAGTTGAATTTTATGTAAAAGATGAAGGCGCAGGAAGTCTTATAAATTTTCTAACTGTGAAAAATATGTATACCTTTTACCAGGTCCTCAAGCTTACCATCAGTACCAAAACCCAGTGAATATTAATTGTCCAGATTAACTGCAAGATCAAATAGAAATATTGCCAAGGGAGAGTGTAAACTATAGAAAGCATTCGAATTTGTCCCAGTTTACATCGTCCCCACACAGTGCGGCTTTCAGCCACCCTCAAACATTCAGTTAAGAAATTCTTCCGAAGCAGCACATACTTTTACGCCCCTTGTGACACTTAAATCAGGTATTTCAGTCGGCTTAAAATGAACTACCTTTTGCGCTTGGAAGCGCAGGCCACTTCCTATCCAAGAGTACTACTCCAATGTGTTTTTGTTTACAGAAGTATCGGTAACTTTCTTTGTTAGAATATCCCCCTGAAGCCTGATTGGCACTTATTTATGGACCTTCTGGAACTCCAGCGCCCTTTTATTCCGGCTAACGACGCTGGACAAAACAGGCTTCCCACCAAAATTAAAATATTAACTGTTAGGAGACCCAAGTTTGGCGAACGCTATAATAGCTTGTAAGGTCACTTTTTTTCTATGTTAAGGAAGCTACGGCTTGAAAAATAACGTGATAGAGAGCTCTATAGTCATTGGGTCAAGCATCAAGTACCAATCAGTGCTGTCTCCTTCAATAGTGGCCACGGGGAAGGCCTGAGCGTGTATTCACGATAGTAAGTCGTGGCTGAAAGGAGAAGTGGAGGACAGGAAGTGACTGTGTTGTCAGCTGTTTTTACAAGTGTATCGGGGCAAAGCAGAGACTGTTTTGGCCTACTTGTATGTTTTATGACACTAGAGGTTTTTATGTTGGATTGGTCAATGTAGGCGGTGGGTTTAAAGGAAGCATTGACGACTAAAGACTATCTGGATGATTGCTCACTACAGCAGGCCGCTCGGTAAGTGAGCTGAACCATCACGGAAACCAGAGCAGAGCCTGGCGGGCGTTACTGATAATACAACCCATAAAAATGGCAAACAGGGCGAGTTGGTGCATGTCTAGGCGAAAGTTTACCCGTCACAGTCACCTGCGCCTTCTCTCGTTTTCAATCTTTTTGACTTAGGTGGTATGGGCAGATAGAATTATTGGCAAAGACAAAGGAGATTGTAATGATCATTTCTGGCTTTTTAGCCGTCGTCAGCCAGTCATGCCCAGACCCAATTGGCGCCCCAGCCGAACCTCGAACTCGCGATTTTTTTATCAGAGTCCAATACCCTAACCGTTCCGATCTCCTCGTCTTTGCCTGCAATACTATCTGTGCATTCTACCAGCTGTTACGGCTCTCAGAGCCTCTGTCGAGGCCCAAGATAAAGCGGGACAGATGATTCCCGTTGGCGGTCAGGTGAACGTCCATCAAAGACTTCTTGACTTTGTCTTCAGATCGAGCTCGGACGGAAGAGCAGAAGCGAATGCATTAGATACTGCAGAGTTTTACTATCCAATCCGACGATGTGCACTACGTGCCTCAGCAGGCCGAAGGCGAAAACAGTGATTTGCACGAGTAAGTCTTTAGGGCTAGTAGACATGCGCTGCATCTGCTCGTGTCACGAAAGAGTTAAGATAACCGCGGGCGGGATTAAGCGCAGGTGGTTCGT